AAACGCATGTCAAAAATTTTATGAATTGATTTGCATTTTAATGAGGGAAATAAGTATTTGACCCCTCTGCAAAACATGACTTAGTACTTGGTGGCCAAACCCTTGTTGGCAATCACAGAGGTCAGACGTTTCTTGTAGTTGGCCACCAGGATTGCACACATCTCGGGAGGGATTTTGTCCCACTCCTCTTTGCAGATCTTCTCCAAGTCATTAAGGTTTCGAGCCTGACGTTTGGCAACTCGAAACTTCAGCTCCCTCCACAGATTTTCTATGGGATTAAGGTCTGGAGACTGGCTAGGCCACTCCAGGACCTTAATGTGCTTCTTCTTGAGCCACTCCTTTGTTGCCTTGGCCGTGTGTTTTGGGTCATTGTCATGCTGGAATACCCATCCACGACCCATTTTCAATGCCCTGGCTGAGGGAAGGAGGTTCCCACCCAAGATTTGACAGTACATGGCCCCGTCCATCGTCCCTTTGATGCGGTGAAGTTGTCCTGTCCCCTTAGCAGAAAAACACCCCCAAAGCATAATGTTTCCACCTCCATGTTTGACGGTGGGGATGGTGTTCTTGGGGTCATAGGCAGCATTCCTCCTCCTCCAAACACGGCGAGTTGAGTTGATGCCAAAGAGCTCGATTTTGGTATTCTGACCACAACACTTTCACCCAGTTCTCCTCTGAATCATTCAGATGTTAATTGGCATACTTCAGACGGGCCTGTATATGTGCTTTCTTGAGCAGGGGGACCTTGCGGGCGCTGCAGGATTTCAGTCCTTCACGGCGTAGTGTGTTACCAATTGTTTTCTTGGTGACTATGGTCCCAGCTGCCTTGAGATCACTGACAAGATCCTCCCGTGTAGTTCTGGGCTGATTCCTCACCGTTCTCATGATCATTGCAACTCCACGAGGTGAGATCTTGCATGGAGCCCCAGGCCGAGGGAGATTGACAGTTATTTTGTGTTTCATCCATTTGCGAATAATCGCACCAACTGTTGTCACCTTCTCACCAAGCTGCTTGGCGATGGTCTTGTAGCCCATTCCAGCCTTGTGTAGGTCTACAATCTTGTCCCTGACATCCTTGGAGAGCTCTTTGGTCTTGGCCATGGTGGAGAGTTTGGAATCTAATTGATTGATTGCTTCTGTGAACCGGTGTCTTTTATACAGGTAACAAGCTGAGATTAGGAGCACTCCCTTTATGAGTGTGCTCCTAATCTCAGCTCGTTACCTGTATAAAAGACACCTGGGAGTCAGAAATCTTTCTGATTGAGAGGGGGTCAAATACTTATTTCCCTCATTAAAATGCAAATCAATTTATAACATTTTTGACATGCGTTTTTCTGGATTTTTTTGTTGTTATTCTGTCTTTCACTGTTCAAATAAACCTACCATTAAAATTATAGACTGATCATTTCTTTGTCAGTGAGCAAAAGTACAGAATCAGCAGGGGATCAAATACTTTTTTCCCTCACTGTATAGAGTTCTGCTACCCGACCCCGACGGGTCTCGACATTATACGTCAGGTTAGGGCCTGTTTTTTCATCAATAACTAGGGTACGGGCAAGGCTCGGGTATCATTAAACATTTTGAAGCTGAACTATTCTCTCATGTTCTGCTGCGCAGTACAGCTCATATCTGACTAAGATCATAACATGGTGTCAGAAGTGCTTCAACCTCGTCAAAAAAGACAGGAGAGATTATTTCACAGAAAATAATTTGTCTGAGTTTAGAGTGATGAAAAGTAGCTAACAGCTAACTGCTCTCTCATGTCTCTTCATTGAGCAGAGCAGCCCAAGCAGAGCCTTTGCTATGTTTACTCACAGACTCAGACCTGCCATGAGTAGAGCATGCAGAGCGTGCAGGGAGTGAGTGACAGACGGAGAGGAGCAGCTAATGGATTTACCTACAGGTTTACCTACAGGGCCTTAAATTTGGCAGATGCATTCGGGCCTGGGTAGGTTAGGGCCTGAACGTCACAGGCATGGGTAGGGCTCAGGCTTAAAATTCATGCCCGTGCAGGGTTCTAATACTGCAGAATGCAGCATAGATACAAGCATCCATCGATGTCCTACATTTATCTGATGATAGCATGAAGTCTGGAAGGGAGGATCTGGCAGTTTAGTAGGAGACTGCTGCAAGGTTGGAGCCCAATGTAAATGTAAACGGAGGGGCTCTCTGGAGCAAACCTCATAGAGGGCAAACCTCCTCCTTGTCCAATAAAGAGAGCACACTACACACACACCATTTTGAAATGCCATGCTATAATGTAATTTTTTTAACCGCTTACATTTAAGGTCCCTATCTTCCTATAGTTTCAGAGTTACACTGACAAGTGGCAGCCTGTACAGAGTCTGTTTGAGAAGGAAAGCCTGAATGTTGATCTGATGAACATCCGGTCCTCTTAAAATCTAGGATTTGTCAAAAACTTCTGCTACATGGGGTGTCATCCAGGCAGATATGGCGACGACAAGAATGCTAGGAATCCCAAACCTGGCACACTTTTTGCCAGGATTAATCTGTCAGACAAATCATGAACTGTTATGCATCTACAATGCCATGCTGCTTTTCAAAAAAAAAAAAGACAGGTGTATGTTGGAGGGAAGAAAATATTGTGTTGAGTGAGTTTTTCCTTCAAATGCTTAAAATATGCTGCTGAAACGCTATCCAAATTAATACTTGGAATTAACTCTACACACCACCTAGCCTAAGAGGAAACATGGAGACTAAAAAAAAATCTAGTCCTCTCATGGGAATTTCTTAATCTGATTGTAAACCATCTCTGATACAGTTTGGATAGAGGCTACAGAAAACTAATTGCACTAGCCGCGAGTGCAAACAAGGCCCAAAATTCAAGGTGAAGTGGCAGCTTGCCCCAGTGCATTTCTAATGCTTGTTCTGCATGCCCACACGGACAGCACAATAATTATCTTCTGTAAGAAATGTAACAGTTATAAAACCTAAGGCAATGCAACATCACAACAACCAATTAAAGTGTTGAATGAGTCTCTTCCACTTCCCTCAATATCATTTGACATAAAAAGTAACAAATAAAATCATAACCAACTCACAATCAATGAGGAGGACACTGGTTAAGTGTGCACTTTGTAAATAAACGGGATTATTTGAGTCTGTATCTTTAGGCCAGCTTACATTATTGAAATAGTTTACATTCTCCTCAGTAGTGAGTTCTCATCAATACAGAACATCATATCTTATATAACTCATTATCCTTTAATACCAGTTTGTTGACAGGCAGGACCAGATGTTGAATTTCAGCTGCAAGGACAAAACCTACTGTTGAGGCTGAATAAATGACAAGCACATATTGCAACAAACCACACTAAGATCATATTAGCGCAATTTATTGACTAACCATGGATGGTGTCTCCATGAAAGATGCAAATGGTTACTTTTGGGTTTGCTGATGATGTTGGTTATACAGACGTTTACAATAATAGTTACCTATCTAGTTAGCTAACGTTAGCTAGTTTGTAATCACGTTAGTTAGCCTACATGCCATGATTACCTAGCTAGCTTAGCTAGATAGTTTGCAGATACTACTGTATGGCGCGAAACGTTTTACATAAGGTGAAATCAATTATTAGTTATGATTGTCTAAACGTATTAAACAAGAGTACAGCTGCAAACATTAGTAGCAACTTGACAAATGTAATGCTTTTCGCAGTCTACACCTTCCTCAGGTGTTGTTTGCCTTGTTAGCTTGTATGCTAACTGGGTAAGCTAGCTAACTTACAATATAAATTGTTTGTTGCTGAATTGAAGGATATGTGCGTTTAATTTTAGTTTGAATTTACGAATTAGCATTGATTTTCCATAAATATGTAAAATACAGCATACTTGAACCTTATAAAGTGCATAAAAACATTGGATGCTGCGAAACGACATTGTGTTGATAGCTACAATATTTCACCTTAGAATTCTCAAGCAAGCCGCCATCTTGCAAAGGGAAATTTGCAGCCTCGATATAGTACGCTAAAGTGGCTAACTTGCTAGCAAAACGCAACCCAAAGTTCTGCCCTATTTTAAAAACATGTAACTTCTGTGCACATATGAAGAGATAGACACTCACCTCACATTCGGGAAAAAAATACCCTGTAAGAAGTAAATGTGTTCTTATTGGTCTTATAGGGCAGATGCTTGTAAATCCGCAGTTGACGGACTGTAGACGGTTGTAGGAGACAGAACGCTGCACCACATTTGTCTGTCGATGTCCTGGTAGGATTGTATAAATTGTTATATGGGGGGAAAAAATCAGTACTTTCATTAATAACATTTGCATATTTTCTCAGTGCTTACTGTGTGTGTTAAAGATAGATTACAACAGTGATTAGACTTTAAATAAATGCTGTCTAAATTAGGCGATTTTTTAAAAGTATTTTTATTTGATATACCAAAGAGGATAAGGTTGTGTAACGTTCAAACCATTCCCACAGGCAAACTAAATATCAATTGTGGCTCCCGCCTGACACAGAACATGCTTGTTGATCCTGATTTATGATTTATCCATAACAAAAATATAAGTAATAATGTGTCCACAGTTTAGATTTTATTTTTAATTTTTTAATACATTACTTGTCTACAAATGATCGGTTGGTTGTTTACCTAACCTTACACATGCAACAGAAACGGGCAACTTTCAGATGCCTAACTAACGTTATAATTAGAACATTTCTGAATTTCATATCAAATGGATATTCGTTTACTTATGCCAATTTCCTGTGTATTTGTAACTAGATATTATACATGGTCGGGTGTTCAAATGTTATGTTGCGTTCCAGAAACAGGAAATGTAGCAGAATATTTACTTTTGGCGGAACCTTTGGAAAATGAGACTTTGAAAATGCGGAATGTTTATAAGAACGGTAAAGAAAATAGTGCATGTTTTATTTGTAATTTTCGTAGCACTTTTGTCCTACTTTGTTTGGATAAAATGCATTTACTAAAGGCAGAATTCAGCAAAGTCACGTAAACAATTGTTTAAATTTATGTTATGTAGAGACAAGCAATTCAACTCGTCTCAAACAAGCGATTTGTCTGGCGATGTTCGAGCACTCTTTTTAACTGCCCATCCAGATGATGAATGTATGTTCTTTGCACCAGCAATTTTAAGACTCGTGGAACTAAATGTCTCTGTTCATTTAGTGTGTTTATCTCAAGGTGGGTTTACAATAGAAAACAGCTTATGGTTTTGATTTGTTTGAGTAGCCTATGTATTCCTGAACCAGAATCTGGCTTTACAGGAGACATTGATATGGCGAATCTCCTTTAAGCCCAGGAAGCAGCCTTTCAGTTTGCCATGCAACAGCTTTTCAAGCTTAATGTCAAAATACGGGCGTTACTCACCAAAAATGGAGTTTCGATTACTAACTATCGTCATTTACTGCCGTCACGGCCGGTATGTACTTCTAAAAAAAGGTCTAAATAAAAATGTACAAGCAACCAAAAAAATGACTATTTTCCACCTCTAATGAATCGCTCACGTCCCAAGGATCCCGGATAGCATTAACATTACTGCTATGCACAGGTCGGAAGTCTACAACATTTTTCGGTGAATGTAACTTTTTTGTGTTAATTCCTTTATATGTCGTTATATAGCCATGTAGCAATGCTTTAAATGACAACATATAAAGTAATTTGGTTTTCTCAAAATAATTACCTAGGCAATTACTACAATCAAGGTGTACAGCGTCGAGAAGAGCTTCTAGGCAGCTGTGCAGTGTTGGGAATACCAGCCTCCAGAGTCACTATACATGACTGCAAGTAAGTTGTCTCTGTCAGCGAGGCTAGCAAGTAGGCAATCTTCAGCACAATTATCAGAACATACTGGCCAACCAGTCCCACACATTCCTTTTAAAAACAGCCATTGATCTAGGTTTAGAAAGTAATCTGCTGTTTTAAATAAGAAGTGCCTGCTTAGCATAAAATCGTTGTTATAAGTAACCTTGTCAGAACAGTCAACCGATGGTCAATTTATTAAGCCTAACCCATAATGTGATTTTTGTCCCCCACGATGAAATCGGGGAGGGGACTGTGGATCTGTCTCTGTCCGTTAGTACGAACTAGTTGCACGCAATATCTCAGATAGCACTGGCCTGATTTTGACAAAACTTGGGTGAATGAGGCATCTTGCCATAGAGATCTGGCATTTACACAATTACACTAATTGGCTAGATGATGGCGCTATAACAGGAGATTGAAAATAACAACTTCGAAAGGTCACGACCTTCACCCCATCTGACCTAAAGTCATGAAATTCAGAACATAGGTCCCTCTCCTTAGGGACCCATATGGTCCGCATGATGGATTTTCCGCAATTTTGAATTTTGTGAAAAACACTTAAAATGCTACACATCTGGTACCGAATGACCGATCTGCACGACATTTGATAAGTGGCATCTATGGACAAAGGTCTCTCAACACAATATTTTCCAGACTAGTACCTAAAACAACATGACCAATATACATTCACGGGGCGTGGTCTGGCACATTTTGTTACGTTATAGCCATATTCTAAAACTGATTAAGTAGTTTTTTTCCCCTCAACAATCTACACGCAATACCCCATAATGACAAAGTAAAAACAGTTTTTTTCATTTTTTTCACATTTATTAAAAATAAAAAACAACTATCACATTTACATACAGTACCAGTTAAAAGTTTGGACACACCATTCTCTCAACCAGCTTCATGAGGTAGTCACCTGGAATGCTAGAATGAGTTCCCACATATGCTGAGCACTTGGTTACTAGTTTTCATTCACTCTGCGGTCCAACTCATCCCAAACCATCTCAATTGGGTTGAGGTTGGGGGATCTGATGCAGCACTCCATCACTCTCCTTCTTGGTCAAATAGCCGTTACACAGCCTGGAGGTGTGTTTTGGGTCATTGTCCTGTTGAAAAACAAATGATAGTCCCACTAAGAGCAAAACAGATGGGATGGTATATCGCTGCAGAATGCTGTGGTAGCCATGCTGGTTAAGTGTGCCTTGAATTCTAAATAAATCACAGTGTCACCAGCAAAGCACCATCACACCACCACCTCCATGCTTCACGGTGGGAACCACACATGCAGAGATCATCCGTTCACCTACTCTGCGTCTCACAAAGACAAGGCGGGTGGAACCAAAAATCTCAAATTTGGACTCATCAGACCAAAGGACAGATTTCCACCGGTCTATCAAATAAAATTTTATTGGCCACATGCGCCGAATACAACAGGTGCAGACATTACAGTGAAATGCTTACTTACAGCCCTTAACCAACAGTGCATTTATTTTTAATAAAAAAGTAGAATAAAACAACAGTGTTGAGAAAAAAAGAGCAGAAGTAAAATAAAATAACAGTAGGGAGGCTATATATACAGGGGGGTACCGGTGCAGAGTCAATGTACGGGGGCACCGGCTAGTTGAGGTAGTTGAAGTAATATGTAACATTGCTCGTGTTTCTTGGCTCATCCAAGTCTCTTCTTCTTATTGGTGTCCTTAGTAGTGGTTTCTTTGCAGCAATTTGACCATGCAGTCTCCTCTGAACTGTTGACGTTGAGATGTGTCTGTTACTTGAACTCTGTGAAGCATTTATTTGGGCTGCAATCTGAGGTTATTTGCCGATTTCTGAGGCTGGTAACTCTAATGAACTTATCTTCTGCAGCTGAGGTAACTCTGGGTCTTCCTTTCCTGTGGCGGTCCTCATGAGAGCCAGTTTCATCATAGCGCTTGATGGGTTTTGCGACTGCACTTGAAGAAACTTTCAAAGTTCTTGAAATTGTCCGTATTGACCGACCTTCATGTCTTAAAGTAATGATGGACTGTCGTTTCTCTTTGCTTATTTGAGCTGTTCTTGCCATAATATCGACTTGGTCTTTTACCATATAGGGCTATCTTCTGTATACCACCCTTACCTTGTCACAACACAACTGATTGGCTCAAACACATTAAGAAGGAAAGAAATTCCACAAATTAACTTTTAACAAGGCCCACCTGTTAATTGAAATGCATTCCAGGTGACTACCTCATGAAGCTGGTTGAGAGAATGCCAAGAGGGTGCAAAGCTGTTATCAAGTCAAAGGGTGGCTACTTTGAAGAATCTCAAATATAAAATATGTTTTGATTTGTTTAGCACTATTTTGGTTACTACATGATTCCATATGTGTTATTTCATAGTTTTGATGTCTTCACTATTATTCTACAATGTAGAAAATAGTAAAAATAAATAAAACCCTTGAATGAGTAGGTGTGTCCAAAGTTTTGACTGGTACTGTAAGTATTCAGACCCTTTACTCAGTACTTTGTTGAAGCACCATAGGCAGCAATTACAGCCTTGCAGACCTTTGGCATTCTAGTTGTCAATTTGTTGAGGTAATCTAAAGAGATTTCACCCCATGCTTTCTGAAGCACCTCCCACAAGTTGGATTGGCTTGATGGGCACTTCTTACGTACTATACGGTCAAGCTGCTCCCACAACAGCTCAATAGGGTTGAGATCCGGTGACTGTACTGGCCACTCCATTATAGACAGAATACCAGCTGACTGCTTCTTCCCTAAATAGTTATTGCATAGTTTGGAGCTGTACTTTGGGTCATTGTCCTGTTGTAGGAGGAAATTGGCTCCAATCAAGCGCCGTCCACAGGGTATGGCATGGCGTTGCAAAATGGAGTGATAGCCTTCCTTCTTCAAGATCCATTTTACCCTGTACAAATCTCCCACTTTACCACCACCAAAGCACCCCCAGACCATCACATTGCCTCCACCATGCTTGACAGATGGGATCAAGCACTCCTCCAGCATCTTTTCATTTGGTCTGCATCTCACAAATGTTGTTCTTTGTGATCCAAACACCTCAAACTTTGATTTGTCTGTCCATAACACTTTTTTTCCAATCTTCCTCCGTCCAGTGTCTGTGCTCTTTTGGCCATCTTAATCTTTTCTTTTTATTGGTCAGTCTGAGATATGGCCCTTTCTTTGCAACTCTGCCTAGAAGGTCAGCATCCCGGAGTCGCCTCTTCACTGTTGACATTGAGACTGGTGTTTTGCGGGTACTATTTAATGAAGCTGCCAGTTGAGCACCTGTGAGGCATCTGTTTCTCAAACTAGACACTAATGTATTTGTCCTCTTGCTCAGTTGTGCACCGGGGCCTCCCACTCCTCTTTCTATTCTGGTTAGAGACAAATCAGCCGTTTCCAGCTACAATAGCCATTTACAACATTAACAATGTCTACACTGTATTTCTGATCAATTTGATGTTATTTTAATGGACAAAACATTTCCCTTAAAAAAAAAAAAGATATTTATTTTCAGGTCTCTCCAGAGATGTTTGATCGGGTTCAAGTCCGGACTCTGGCTGGGCCACTCAAGGACATTCATAGACTTGTCCCAAAGCGTTGTCTTGGCTGTGTGCTTAGGGTCGTTGTCCTGTTGGAAGGTGAACCTTCGCCCCAGTCTGAGGTCTTGAGCGCTCTGGAGCAGGTTTTCATCAAGGGTCTCTCTGTGCTTTGCTCCGTTCATCTTTCCCTTGATCCTAACTAGTCTCCCAGTCCCTGCCGCTAAAAAACATCTCCCCAGCATGATACTACCAACCAGGCAAGTCATTCCAATCAATTGAATTGACCAGAGGTGGACGCCAATCAAGTTGGAGAAACATTTCAAGGATGATCAATGGAAACAGGGTGCACCTGAGCTCAATTTCTAGTCTCATAGCAAAGGTTCTGAATACTTATGTAAATAAGATATTTCTGTTTTTTATTTGTAATACATTTGCTAAAATGTCTAAATATTTTTTCACTTTGTCATTATGGGGTATTGTGTGTAGATTGATGAGGATTTGTTTTATTTAATCCATTTTAGAATAAAGCTGTAACATAACAAAATGTGGAAAAAGTCGAGGGGTTTGAATACTTTCTGAATGCACAGTAAATCAGTCAAGTGTATTCGTATTGTAACAAAATGTAGTACACATGTTGCAAACATTGTCAAGACTCAACATTTGCAAGAACATTCATATAGACTTCACGGTGGCGCTATAATGGACACATGTTTATATCACTTGATCTGTTTAGCTCAGAGTTATGAAATTTGGTGCATATGCTCAGGGATATGAGTCTAGCTAACCCACGCGATATCTCAGACACCACTGGCCTGATTTTGACTAAACTTGGGTGAATGGTGCGTCTTGCCATAGACGAGTTGTTTACTGTTGCCTTGTTTTAAATTAGGGGCTGATGGTGAAAAGTAAAAACAAACATGAAGAAACAGTGTGTGGTGCAGTGCACTACCCCCAGCCAGCCCAGGACCCTGAACCCAGCATGCCTGCCCATTAGCAGCACATCAAGCTCTGCCTGGCCCCTCCACCTCCCCCAGTGTCTGTCAGAACAAACAGTGAGCCAGCCACAAATCAAACTCCTCCTTTCTTACCATAACAGAGCCTAGTCAGCCTGGCCTGATATATTGGCCTACTCTGTCACTAGGGGCCATAAACGCTTAGACCCCAGAGGCTTTGAGAGGTCTGCCCCTGTTGGACATTCTCTCTCTGCCCTCTGAAATCGCACCAGGTCTGCAACATGATATGATATTTTGGCCACACATTCTTTCAGGAATTGTTGAGACTAATTGGTGAATATTAGGACTTGATTGTGAGGGACTTAGACCTAAGTGATCATGAGGCATCAAAGCCGAACAAACTGCATACTATTAAGAAATGCTATAGATGGAAGGAAAGTAGTGTAGAAGCCTACCAAAAAACTATTGGGCAACAACAAATCTAAT